TTATAGAAATATTACAAAATGAAACTGAAAAATAAAATGTAATTAAAACAAATTATTATAAAATAATTAAATGTAATTAAAAATAAATGTTATTGAAATGTAATTACATTTAATTTAACATTTAATTTAATTTCAGGTTTGAGGATTAATATAGGAAAAAAAATATTTGTAACAAATACCAGTACAATAACCAGGTATTTAAGTTTATCATAAATAAATACAATTTCTTTTATTCGCATGCATATTAACTAACTGAATACAGTTACCCAAATTCTAACCACAATCTTTTTCACAATGAAAAAAATTATGCTGATTGTAAGAAATCTGAATAAATGCATTTTGAAAATATGATTATTTAAATAAAATTGAATAAATGCAAGTAGTTAATAATAAACAATGGCATGATTTTTTTTTTTGAGTGCAAAAATCTTACCTGTTTCATTAAAAGTATGAATGACTGACAAAAATAAGCATCACATTAAGTTTATTAGTTTGTTAAAACTGTGTGATCCAAATGGATGGGCATTTTTGATGCAATTCAAATACATAAATCTTAAATTTAAGCTTAGTTAGTTCAGCTTGAGTTAGAACATGATATTTTGCTGCTGATGATTCCAGGTTGATTGACAGGTGTTTATTGGACCGGTGGGGTTTCTTGATTATTTGGGAGAGTCAGCAGGAAGCTCATGTTAACAGCGACTCCGTGCTGGTAAACCCAAACAGAGAGCTTTACATGGAGAGGCTTGAGGAAACTGGTCACTTTGAGCTACTTTACCAGCAGATTTGCTCTTCACTACAGTGTTAGGTAGTTCATCTCAAAATGGAGCATGCGGTGTGTTTACAGACGTGAATTAACATGTGCACAAGGTGACTTTGAGTTTGTGGAGCTTCTGCAGAGTAAATAAGCTGATAATGGTTTGAATTAGTGCTAGGCCGTTGACCTTTAAATTTAAAAGATAAACGAATGTCAACTTTAGGCTGCACTCATGGTTTCAGAATGCTGTGGATCCAGTACTGTAAAGTATAATGGTATACTTAAGTAGTGAATAAATACTACATTAACATATCATTGTATGTACAGTATGCTGTTTATATCAGCAAGGCAAAAAAGCAATTTTTCAAACGCCGTGTGAGGCATTGACCCTCCAGCCCTGCGAACCTTGACGATGCATTTGTTTCTGATGACATCAGGGACTTTACACACATCTGTGAAAACCAGGTGCCTTAACCAGTAACCTGGCAACAAGCAGATCAGGACCCCGTCAAGGTTGACTTCCTCGCTGCCTGAGAGAGAAACAGCTCTTATTTAAGCCGGAAATTGAAATGGCATTTAAAGGAATGAAAAAAGGAATGTTATTGTTGCAGAGCTGCTCTGCATTAATATTCTAATATAATCTGGTTGGTGAAGAATGAATGGGAGAGTTTGTGGTTGCTGTCCTTTTTTTTCTTTCTTCTAATAAGGGCTCATAGTTTATGTATTTCTCACCTTGTATCATATACTTTAAATGTTATATATTCAGCTTGAGCTAAATATCTGCCATGTACCATGGCTTTGTTCAAAAATGCAGTGAGCTTACTTGCTGTATACTGCCTAAAGTCTTCTAAGTCAGCATCCTAACTGAAACGGAACATCATAAGTGACTTATTTGGAACACCCTACATAGAGAGAAACTCTATATGTCATAAACTTCTCAGTTGATTTCAATAGAGATTGGCAGGTATTGAGGCAACTCTAATAAGAACAAAAAAATAAGAAAAGTCTATTTTTATTTTATATTAATATTAGTTATTAATAATAATATAAAATAAATAATTTCTTCTTCTTGATATATATTTTAAAGATATATTATTTATTTATTATTATTATTATATTTTTATTATTTATTTATTTATAAAAAATATTATTACATGTATTTTACTATGGAAAATTTTACTACGGAAACTTGTTTCCACCACAGGATAAAAAATATAAAAAAGTAAAAGGTGATTTTTTGTTTCAGAATTGCAAGAAGTAATTTTGTAATGTGAAAAAAAGTTGGAATTGTGAGATACAAAATAGCAATTACCTTTTGTATTTTTTTATTTGATTTATTTTTTTGTGTGAGATCTAAACTCAGAATTCAGAGAAAAAAATTGCAATATGTTATCTCAGAATTGTGAGAAAATTCTGAGATAACATATTGCAAAAAAATGTTTTTCTTTTATTCAGTGGCGGAAACAGGCTTCCATATTTTCCATATTTACTTTTTGGTATTGAGTGATGTCATTCCAATGCGTTGTTGGATTGGGTGTCTATATATTAGGTGATGCTGCCAAAACAAGGTATCTTATAAGGCAGTGTAATTTTGCTGTCTACCTTTTGGAACAACCTGTGATGCTTTAAAATGTTGTCTAGGTAGGCAGCTCACTAGATTTTGGAACAGAAGAGCATTGATAATAATGTTAGAACCATATTGTTTGAAATGCAAAGATGTTCAGCTATGTCTGTTTTTTTAATATGCTGAGAAAGATAATATGCATGCTTTTACAAGGCATTAATAGCTGTATAAACAAATACATACTGCAATTAGTTTATGCAGCATATCATAAGACAGAAAGCATCTTTAAAGCAAACATGGCAGCTGAACACAGACACAAGTGGAATGATGAAGCTGTCAAAACCGATGAAATGTATTTGAGCGGTTCTACAGGAATGATTTAAACATCTGAAGCTTTAGTACATATTTGATTTTCGTGCCCTTTCCACATAAGTGGTTCTGCTCAGAGAGCCGCAGTGAAATGTCATTACCTTGAGTTACCAACGAGAAAGTCTGTATTTTTATCCGTCCTGTGAGAATGAAATATTCCCACGGAACAGAGCAGCTCCGGTGCGGTGTGGTTTGCTAACCGTAATTAACCCTGGTGTTTATAGGGCTGGATTTGAGCATGTGGCGCCCACACAAGGCTCTCTCAGTGTGAGGATGAAAGGTGCCTCAACGTCGCTGGAAGAAAAAGGTCATTCACAATCAGAGCCCAGAGGGGAGGCCTTGCCCTCTTGTTCTTTACCCCTCCTCTCTTACAACATCAATCACAATCTCTCCAAAAATCCGGTTGAAATTGTTTTTCAACAGGCGCTCGTAGCCAATCGCTGATTGTTCCAGTGTTGTCATTTATAAAAAAGGCGACTGAAAGAATGATGTGCTGATTTGATGTAATTTGTAGGGAACAAGAAAGGGGAACTTTCTGTGTGTGTACTGTGTGTGTGTATATGTGCATGTTTATGTGGTTTATGAGGACACAAATTTGTATAATAACATGGGTATGACATAGGTATTACAACGAGAAGGTGATTTATGAGGACATTTTCAGTGTCCCCGTAATTCAAAAGGCTTATAAATAATTCAGAATGAGTTTTTTTGAAAATCAAAAAATGCAGAAAGTTTCCTGTAAGGGGTAGGTTTAGGGGTAGGGATGGTGTAGGGCAATAGAATATACGGTTTGTACAGTATAAAAACCATTATGCCTATGGAGAGTCCCCATAAACCATAAAAACAAACCTGTGTGTGTGTGTATATATATATATATATATACAGTATATATTCCAAAGGGTTTTAGAATATGTACATCAGTGTATATATAACAATATATATATTAGGTCAAATTTATTGTCACATAGGCACATTTATTTTTTGTGTCTTTATCAGCAGGTTACATTTTTATTTAAAATAATGTGAGCAGATGCACATTAACAGAATATTTGTTTTAGTTCATAAGATTAAGGACTGTAATTATACAACCTTTAATTCATTTTACTCCGTTTGAGGAATGGAAATATTGAACATGTTTGTTTTCATTTGAGCGCAGAGTGAGAAATGCTGATCAGTTTGCGTTATCATCAAACGTCTGTAACTACATGAACTGTAATCAACAGTACTTGTGTGTTTTGCATTTCTCATCCCACTAAATGTGTTTTCTCACATTTTGACTAATAATTTGAATATCTTGTGTTCATGTGCAGATATGCGTGCCTGCTCTGCAGTAAAGCAGATTTTGTATGATTAATTTGTTTTGTCACATTTTGGCTGTAGTTGTCATGTAGATTAAAGGTCATTTAAGGATTAGAGACGTCATGACTGAAAATCCATGAACTGTTTTGTGCTGCCGCAGCTTGAGCAAACAACAGCAACATTCACTCCGACTGTGACACTGCGAACATAGCCTGTGTCTTAGGGTAATAAGTGTTTAAATTGCAGCATCATTACACGTAAGGGTCAGACATGTTAATAGAGGACTTTTTTCATTTTCTTATTTGTTTCTATTGTAACTTCAAAGCACATTTTAGGAGAAACATCTTTTCTTGAAAAAAGCATGACTGAAAATTCAGAGAAAGTCTCTTGAGCTGCGGTTGACATGCATTAAAAGTATAGAGCTATTTGCGTCATTGTTCAGATCTCAAAAGTCCATTTAATGTCTTTGTAATCTAGGAGAAATGTAAGATTCTAAAGAGAATTCTGTTCCTATGAATTACCAAAGCAGAACTTTGCATTTTTTCAGTGCTAAAAGGCTTACTAAAAAGTGTAAACTCTCGCAATACTGATTTATAAACTTTCAGCTCAGACTTTGTTTTCTTCAGAATGCTGAATTTACATTTACTTGCAATTGATGATTTGCGATTTCGAGACGCATTTCTGAGGAAAAGAGTTTGAATTGAAAGTTTATAAATCAGTGTTGCGAGATAAACTTTCAATTGTTTATATCTCGCAATTTTGACTTTTTCACACAATTCTGAGTTTAGATTTTTCAATTAAAACTTGCAAGAGATGAGCTCACAATTTTGCAAAAAAAATCTGAATTTTGAATATATAACTATAACTTTAAGATCGAGATTTATAATTGCGAGATTTAGATTTCTGAGTAAAAAAAGTCTGAATTGTGAGATATAAACTAACTGTTTATATCTAACTGTTTGACCAAATAACCTCTGTGACTTAGTTTTTAACTTCCTTTTTCTGTCTGTGCAGGTGGGATTTTCGAGACACTTGAGAATGAACCGATTAGCGTGGAAGAACTTGCCTTCAAATTCGCTGTAACCAACATTAACAGAAACAGAACTTTAATGCCCAACACCACCCTCACCTATGACATCCAGAGAATCAACCTGTTCGACAGCTTCGAGGCGTCCAGACGAGGTTTGATTCTTACATGTACACACTGGCAGACCCTTTTATCCATTACATGCACAGATCAGTTCATGCATTCCGTGGGGATCGAACCCATGATTTTGGCATTGCTGGTGCCTCGCTTTACCATTTAAGCTGCAGGTAGGATAGCAAAAAGAGCTCAGTACCAAAACTTACATTATTAAATACACTGTAAAAAAATATTTTTAGAAGTTGTAACTAAAACAAATATTATTGCAATATGTTTTACAAGGAAATACTATTTTTAGTTTTTCTGTTTTAAAATGTAATGTTTAATTGAATGTGAATTGCGAGATTTAGATTTCTGAGTAAAAAAAGTCTGAATTGTGAGATATAAACTAACTGTTTATATCTAACTGTTTGACCAAATAACCTCTGTGACTTAGTTTTTAACTTCCTTTTTCTGTCTGTGCAGGTGGGATTTTCGAGACACTTGAGAATGAACCGATTAGCGTGGAAGAACTTGCCTTCAAATTCGCTGTAACCAACATTAACAGAAACAGAACTTTAATGCCCAACACCACCCTCACCTATGACATCCAGAGAATCAACCTGTTCGACAGCTTCGAGGCGTCCAGACGAGGTTTGATTCTTACATGTACACACTGGCAGACCCTTTTATCCATTACATGCACAGATCAGTTCATGCATTCCTTGGGGATCGAACCCATGATTTTGGCATTGCTGGTTCCTCGCTTTACCATTTAAGCTGCAGGTAGGATAGCAAAAAAAGCTCAGTACCAAAACTTACATTATTAAATACACTGTAAAAAAATATTTTTAGAAGTTGTAACTAAAACAAATATTATTGGAATATGTTTTTCTGTGTTAAAATGTAATGTTTAATTGAATGTGTTGCATTTGATCTGAATTTGAAATTTTTGTGAAAAATGGTGCAGTAAATATTGACTTCGAGATCATATCCGGGATAATTTGACTTTTCTTCATTATTAAAAAGATTAGGGTATGATTAACTGTGTGTAATTTGTCAGGGCTGAAAAATATTAAAAACACCCCAAAACAGCAAGATTTCTGTTCGGAAATAGAAGATTTTTCCTGTTTAATTTCAGATGATGAATATTTGAATTAAAGCTGAAAATCAGCTTAAAATGTTATGTGCTAAATCTGAGTCAAAGCAGAACTTGATTAACTCATTTAACACTCTACACTACATATTGTGTATAAAACCATAATTATCAACCGTCCCGTGAGTGTCTGATGGTTGTTAGGATCTCAGTGCTTTATGAAAAATGTCCATAATTCACATTTCTGATCTGAATTTGAAATTTTTGTGAAAAATGGTGCAGTAAATATTGACTTCGAGATCATATCCGGGATAATTTGACTTTTCTTCATTATTAAAAAGATTAGGATATGATTAACTGTGTGTAATTTGTCAGGGCTGAAAAATATTAAAAACACCCCAAAACAGCAAGATTTCTGTTTGGAAATAGAAGATTTTTCCTGTTTAATTTCAGATGATGAATATTTGAATTAAAGCTGAAAATCAGCTTAAAATGTTATGTGCTAAATCTGAGTCAAAGCAGAACTTGATTAACTCATTTAACACTCTACACTACTGTAGTATATATGTTTTAAAGACGTCTCTTCTGCTTACCAAGGCTGCATTTATTTGATTCAAAATGCAGTAAAATCAGTAATATTGTGAAATATTATTAAAATAATATCTGTTTTCTGTTTGAATGCATTTTAAAATGTTTATTCCTGTGATCAAAGCTGAATTTTCAGCATTATTATTCCATTCAGAAATCATTCTAATATGGTGATTTATTATTATTATGAAAATGACAGGCCTCTCTCATCTTTTTAAGTGGGAGAACTTGCACAATTGGTGGCTGACTAAATACTTTTTTGCCCCACTGTATATATGTTTTAAAGACGTCTCTTCTGCTTACCAAGGCTGCATTTATTTGATTCAAAATGCAGTAAAATCAGTAATATTGTGAAATATTATTAAAATAATATAACTGTTTTCTGTTTGAATGCGTATGCTTTATTTCAGTGTTTTGATTTCAGGTCTCTAGATATTTAACGCATGCTTCCTGTTACAGTAGATCCTTTACTCAACCTAACATTGGGAATGAGGAAAAGAATAATCACAAATGATGTGAAAGGCAGTGAAAATTAAATCTGTGGGTTATTTGTTCATAATATGAGTGATGTAATATCTGTTTGAATGGAGGATGCTGGTGCAGATGGAGGTTTAACTTCTCTCTCTCTCTCTCTCTTTTTCTCTTTCTGCTGTAGCTCTTGTCTATGGGCATGATGACTGAATATTACCATTTCTTCTTTACCACTCTGGTGAGTTTCATATATGGATTCTTTGAGGTTTTTTTTGGTCTTGTCATTGTTTTGATTTGAAATTTTAACAAGGCTGGTTCTGCTGATGTGCAATTTGTTTTTAGTCAATAAAGTGGTGCAGGAATGACATATTTTTGTAGGCCAATCTGGAAATTCGCATCACTCCGGTTCCCTCAGCAAAAACCCAATATGATTTTTCATTGCCTTTTGGATTATTGCAGAAAATAAGCTCTAGGACCAACAAAAGTTTACGATTCTTACATGTTTTGTTTATCATGATAATCTTCACAACTATTATGAATCCTGAAGCCTAAATGCAACTGCCATAAGTAAAAAGCTAAATGTAGACTATAAACACCACGGTCACACATGGTTTCACAAAAAATTTGAATTGGTATATTTTGCAAGAGCGCAATTATAAACACAAAGAGGCTGTGAAAGTGACTATAGAATATATGAGTTTACCTTTCACAAGACAAATAAAATATTGTTTTGAAAAAAGTCCCAAGGTGGTATTTGCTGAGGTATTTTATGTCATAGAATAAAACTTGAAAATATCTTGAGCTAGTGTTCACCACAGACCTTATTTTAGGCATTTACCAGAATCTCATTGACTTTAGGATGTTAAAAGCATAACTCCTAAAATCTCGTTTCTGGGTTTAGGCCTACAAAAATAAGTAATCCTTACCGCGCTCTACAGCTAGAAACCAAGAAGCATTTTAAGAAAAGTAATCTATTGTTAAGCTTCATATATTGTATGATACACTTCAGGATCTGTTTGCACTGGACCTGGAGCCGTACCGATACAGTGGCGTGAACATGACGGGTTTCCGTCTGCTCAACATCGAAAACACTCATGTGGCGTCAGTGGTGGAGAAATGGTCCATGGAGCGACTGCAGGCTCCACCCAAACCCGAGACCGGCCTGCTGGACGGAATGATGACAGTCTGTCAACTCTCTCTCTATGTATTGTCTTAAAAATAAATGTTCCAAAGGGAGTTTTTACAGCGATGCCATAGAAGAACCATTTTTGGTTCCCCAAAGAACCTTCCAGTGAACAGTTCTTAAAAAAACATCAAGATTTTTATAATCTAAAGAAACTTTTTCCACTATAAATAACCTTTAGTGGAATGCAAAGGTTCTATATATGTTAAAGGTTGTTCTTGGAACCATCAATGCCAAAAAATAACCTTTATTATATATATATATATATATATATATATATATATATATATATATATATATATATATATATATAATATATTATTTATTTTATATATATGATATATATACAGTACAGTATACAGAATATATATGATGATACTGAATGATTCATATATATGAAGATATGATAGTACTCCAATGTATTTTGGTGAATAGCATGACTTTACCATGGTACAGTACATGTCTAAAAAACATAGTTATTCCATAATACTTGACCAAAAGACAAAATCATTCTTTAATTGGAGTGTCTATACTGCATCTGCTGTCTTACTGTGCATTGATCAAGTCATCAACTTTATTAAAATAGTACTTTATACAGCACAGATTAAAAACAGCAAACAGCATTAAAGGGGTCATATGATGCTGCTAAAAAGAACATTATTTTGTGTATTTGGTATAATGAAATGTGTTTATGCGGTTTAAAGTAAAAAAAAAAACACATTATTTTCCACATACTGTACATTATTGTTTCTCCTCTATGCCCTGCCTTTTTGAAACGCGTCGATTTTTACAAAGCTCATCGTTCTGAAAAGCGAGGTGTGCTGTGATTGGCCAGCTATCCAGTGCGTTGTGATTGGCCGAATACCTCAAGCGTGAGACGGAAATGTTACGCCCCTCACCGTACTGTTGACGCCGTGTCCCGGCCAGAGCGGTGTGATGCTCTGCTACGTTTTCCGCTCTATGGACGTGCGCTCCACTGAGTCGCTCTAACCGCCCAAGCAAGCGCTCCGTTAATATTCCGCTCACGCTCACCGTAAACCAATTCCCGCTCAGATCCCGCTCCGTTCTGTAAAGAACAAATTTGCGTGCATTATATAAGATTATTCATTACTGCTGCCTATATCTAGCCTACATTCTGTAGGACTACCTATTGGTTCGGGTCAGTTTTTTTTTTAATAATATTTTAATAGGCCTTAGTGGTGTTGGCTAATATTTTCTGTACTGTTCTGTATTTAGGCCTATATACAGCTGTGTGTTAGCTTAGGTCTACAGTTTAACTGAGATTATTTATACGGAGCTCCGAATATAATTCGAATTAACAATTCGTTTCTACGACGTCAGCAGGTTTTATTATTTTTTTATTTATTATTATTTATTAAGTTTAAGCAATAATGATTTTAATAAGTAATTACGAAATATAATAATTCGTTCCACGATTTAGGCCTACTATAGGGAATGAACGAATTAACGAACGAATGAATTCGTGGCCGCTAAGCCTAAACAAGAGAATGAATACTTAATTTGTGGCCATAATTTAGACTAAACGAAAAAATTAATTCTTAATTGGTGGCCATAATGTAGTCCTAGCATAAAAGAGAACTAGCCTATTCTAAATTTGTGGCTGTGATTTTGTCTGCATGTCATGATCGGGGCTCCGTACAACCGAATATAACCTTAGCCTACCTGTTTATTCATTTATTATGGTATGTAATTAGCTCACCTTTTGCTGCACCATGTTTGCATACATCTTCGTGCTTTCTGTAATCAATATGAATCTGTACTAACTTTAACAGTCTCCCCGCACTCCCTCTCAGTTTCTTCTCCCTGCTCATTCTTAACTTTGATTTTTACTTTACATTTATGTATAAGGCTTGCAACTTCGTTGAAACAATATCTGAACTCCATAACTGCTCTACTATTCTCGATCTCTACAGATTCTCGATCTCGAACAAGCAAATCACCAAACGGCATTCTGGGTTGAGCGAGCGGCGCTGAGCGTATTGAGCGACGCTCACATGCTCTGGTCAGAACTGCCGGCATTTTAGTCTAACGTTACTCTACCAGGATCAGTAAATTACTCCATAAAATGCGCTGCACACATCTGGATATTTGGGTTAAACTGTTCTGGAACAGTGTTGTAAATACAACTTAACCACTGATTTGTAGTCGTGTCCTCTTTTGGAAGACCAAACAAAGTAGTTTCGCTTTCACAACAAAAAACACAGCAGCCTAGCGTGAGGGGAAGCCCCGGCTTAGCGTGCGCTGAGGCCGGGATAGAGTGAGCTGAGGCCGGGCTAGAGTGAGCGGAAGCGGCGGGGGTCGAGAACGGCGGGCCCGGTGGATCCGACGAATGAGCGGCAACCACATGTGACGACCCCGGGCTGGATTCCGCTTTGTCCATGGTGAAAGTTGATGTATTCCCTCAGCGACCAGAACAGATCAGCTCCAGGCATGACGAAGCGTAACATTTCCGTCACACGCTTGAGGTATTCGGCCAATCACAACGCACTGGATAGCTGGCCAATCACAGCACACCTCACTTTTTCAGACCGATGAGCTTTGTAAAAATCGACGCGTTTCAAAAAGGCGGGGCATAGAGGAGAAACAATAATGTACAGTATGTGGAAAATAATGTGTTTTTTGAACTTTAAAACGCATAAACACATTTCATTACACCAAATACACCAAATAAGGTTCTTTTTAGCAGCATCATATGACCCCTTTAAGTTCTTTTGAACCCACAATTTGATTCAGAATCAAGTGAGTCTCATTATGTGAACAGATTCATGTGGTCTAGTTTCATGTGTCTCATTTCTGTCTGTGCCGCAGTCTGAAGCAGCGCTGATGTATGATGCTGTGTATATGGTCGCTGCTGCATCCCAGCGAGCGTCTCAGGTCACCGTCAGCTCACTGCAGTGTCACCGACACAAACCCTGGCGCTTCGGCTCCCGATTCATCAGCATGCTCAAAGAGGTAAATGCACCTGTTTAAACCCTCATCCAAAACCAAAAAACAGTTCACCCACAGATCATAATTTACTCACCATGTATGTTTGGAATGAGTAAATGATGACCGAATGATCATTTATAATCTTTTAAACTGTGTCAGACGCTTCTGAACTCTGATAGAGAGTTCCGTCTGTTTAGTCTAAATGCATCATTACTCACTTCTCTGGAAAGTGTTTCGAGCCACTTCTAAACAGCTGCAGATGATTTATGTGTGGACAATCTCTCTCTCCCAATGATAACTTCCAAGTGTTCTTGTCAGAGCTTCCTGTGTTGGAGGAGGTATTGTTGAGTCAGCATGTTGGCATTGCAGTCTGAGGATGAATGTGTGTTGGACGAGAGCGTAATGGCTCTAGCTGAATTAGTGATGCAGTGTGGGTGAACTCATTACAGTGGGGCTGTGTTCATTTAAAGGTGAAGCATGTCATTTCTGCTCTACTAGTGGTGCTGAACGGAATTGTTACCAAATGGACCGACATGACAACGTTAACCTAACTTCCGCTGCTGAGAAACCCAGAAATGTGAAAAAGGTCTGATTCACTGATTCGAAGCGCTCCAAACCGAATCACGTATCGTGAATCATTTGATTTAGGTCGGGACTTCGGAGCGCACATTGAGTATCTTTTTTTCTGATTTCTTTCCCCCCCCCTTTTTTTATCAAGCAGTACAAAACATCAAATTATTAAAGCAGTACACTAATAAAAACAAAACAAAGAAAAACAAAGAAAGTATACATAGAAAGTACACAAATCCTTTAAGAAAATTTACCATGTTTTTTTCATTTTTTTGTTTTTTAGTTTAACCACAGTTTTACTAGAAATACCATGGTTAAACTATGGTTAGTGTAGCAAAACCACCATGGCAACCATGGGTTCATTATAGAATTGTTTTTTAATAAATAAAAATGTATTAATTAAATAAAAAAAGTAAAACATTGAAACCATGAGGACACATGAATACAGAGATACAGTTTGGACTACTTTAGGGTTAACAGAACATTAGATAGTTTCCATATACTTGTCTAGATCAACTTTGAATAACGAAAAGAGAGGTTTAGAGACAGTCAATTTTTATGTATGTGAATTTTGGCTTGCAGGAAACAAATTATTTAACTTATATTTTCCTATATTTTCTTTTGAGTACTCAAACTATTCAAAGAAAACATCTTCAAAACAGAAAGAAAAAGCACTTACAAAATGAGATTGGATGAACATTAAAAAAATCTGACTATAATTTCTCTGTATGGGCACATTGCCAAAACAAGTGAATGAATCTTCCTCAGAAAAGTGACAAAAACAGCACCTCACTTCAATGTCTAACTTATATTATAATTACGTCCACAAGTTTTTTATGAAATTTGGATTAAATCATTAATCTGTTGTTTGACCTCTTCATATTTAAGGAGAGATCTCCAGTTTAACCATTAAATTGTCCCTAGCACTAATTTTGATCAAACCGTTAAATGGCTGTTGTCTGCTGTTGTGTCACCAACAATGCCAAAATCAAACCTACGCCCTTGCTGGTGGTGATGATGATGATGATGATGACCTCGATCTTAGTGAGCATGAATGGGACAGTTAATGCAGTCTACAGTAAGCACTGCTGGTTCTGGCGTGTTTAATCTTGTGTGCTTTTGGTAATTGAAGCTCACTGTACATGTGATCTGAGCAGGACCTGATAGAAAAGGAAGGATCAAGTGAGATTTATACTAGAGAATAATGACTAGAACAAATCTGGACAAAGGTCATGTGACCTCAGTGTGAGTATATGAAGTCAGTCTGAGCTCCACTACTGTATGTGAAGATTATGAATGCTATCTACCCCATTTGAATTCTTAAAGAACAGCAAATTAAAGAAATAATCCACTGGATTTGCACATGAGGCTTGAACATCTGTTGACTATATGAGCTCCGCATCCTCATAAATTAACATGTTCTGGATAAAAGATCCACTGAATCATGTGTTGGATAGATCAGTCGCTCCATTTGGCTTCAGACCTCACATATTCACTCCATGAGCTTGATTATAGAGTCCATTTACGAACAACTCCTTGCAGAACTGAGTTGATCTATTGCTCTGGGCACTTCTTTTGACCATGTGACTATTTATTTATTATTTCTCTTAGCTATTTGCCACTAGATAAATGGGGCTATATATATATTTATATATATACTGTATATACTGTATATATATATATATATATATATATATATATATATGTATATATATATATATATATATATATGTATATATATATATATATATATATATATATATGTATATATATATGTGTGTGTGTGTGTGTGTGTGTGTGTGTGTGTGTGAGTAGTATGTGTGTATTCTCAACCTGAAAGCTAGATATACTTTACCTCTAATAATGTCTTTGGGAAAGTTACAAGCTGGACAGTTTACAGTTCAATTTGACATTGCACATAAAAGCCTTATGCTCAAGGTCCTGACACTAAAAAGTGCTTGTTAGAAATTTTTTTTTTTTTTTAAATGCATTTTTATTAGTCAAATATATATATTTTTTATGGTAAAAATCATTACATTTAATAATTTTATTTAATAAATATATGTATTTATTTAACATAAATACAAGGTGCTTGTTAGAAAAAATATAATGTATTTCTATAATTAAATGCAGTGCATTTAATTAAATTAAGTTAATTAAATCATATTTTTATTTCATGAATGAATGTATTTAATTAGTTAATTTATTTATTTATTTAGAAATAATTAATCCAGTTAATAAAAATAGAATTATAACAGAATAGAAAATAATAATGCAATCTTTTTTTTATAATACAATAATGAATTATTATATACATACCCTTAAAAATAAAATAAGATATAAACAAATAAATCATTTTCTAAATTTATGTAATACTGTGGGACTGTGATCACATAAGTGTTGTTGGTTCATGCGTTCCCAGGTATGAGTCTGATCTGGGCTATGTCACATTCTCATTCCCTCTCACTCTTACTTTCCTGTCTGCACTTCACTGTATTATTAAAATAATGGCAGAAAGCCTCCCAAAACACATAACAATGTGTGTGTAAGCTAATGCATCAAGGAAAAGTTGGAAACACTGGGCTGAGCATGAGCCAAAAACACATTCTCAACTAATGATGATGATGATAATGCTGCATCTGGCCTCTAAAGTGAGACTTAAAATAAAAGCAAATGAGCAATCAGAGTTTTATCATCTCTGTCTTTATTATGACACCCTCATTTTTAATCTAAACGCCTGTTCTGGAATGAAATCAGATCCCTTCTCTTCTTGTAGGCTCAGTTGAACGGACTGACCGGACAGATCATCATAAACAAGACAGACGGCCTGAGGAAAGACTTCGACCTCGACATCATCAGTCTGAAAGAGGACGGGATGGAAAAGGTAAAACCAGAAAATAATCCCGTTTGCATGAGCAGCATCTGTCTAAACTGATATCTGCCATACATGTCATTTTTTTTGTTTTCTTTTCACAAGCAGTTTATGGAAAGTGGTCGTTTTAACAAAGTATGGAAGAAGGTTTGTATTGAACGTCAAAAATGTGACATTTGAGTCCCTTTTCTCCTTACAAAACATACCATGGTACTGAATGATACTATGTTATTTCCTAAAAAACATAGTATATTACCATGGTACTTTTTCCATTTATGACCCTCAACCTGCTGGTTTCTAGATGTTATTGATGTCTTATATACTCTCATGTTGGCAAGTTCATGGCTCAGTTATGGATTATACTTAGTTTTACCACTTATTTATAATTGCATTAAATAAACGTAATTTATTTCCTTTTCTAACGCTGTCAAACTCTCAGCAGGTGGCTCTAAACCAAACGCAACATAAAGCAGCTAAGAGCTCTGCAACCATTTATGAAATATTACATCATTCATAGAGTCAACAATGCAGAGAGCTCATTTTATTAAACATCTGTTTATGTGCACTAATCACACGGCAAGCGCTCAATTTGAGGACTCTCTCTTAATGCATATTTTACAACGCTCCCCGTGACAACAGCTATCAGACAGAGGTGACTTAGTGTAGCGAATGAAGCTACTGCGCTGCACAGAAACACACACAGACCATCTCAGAGGAGTGACTGCTTGCGTCGTCTTTCAGTGGATTTACATTAATTGCGCATGTAAAAGAAGGCAATGATAGAGCACTTGCTTTGCACATTAATATATGTGGTAGATTACTCAAAATACAGTCAGTTCTCAGCAGTTTTAAGGCTTTCTAGATGTTTTCTCTTAGATAAAGTCCTTCCTTTGCTCCGCTAAGTAATGAAGGTGTATTGTATGCATTTATTCCCATTTTTCCCTTAATCCTTTTATTGTCTTTTTTTATTGACCCTATTAGACCTAAAGTGCCAAAGCTGAAGTGTGTAATTTTTGTAATCTATCTATAGATCATCACACTACCACCACCATGTTTGACTGTTGGTATGATGTTCTTTTTATGAAATGCTGTGTTGGTTTTGCACCAGATGTTACGGGACACACACCTTCCAAAAAGTTCAACTTTTGTCAACAATCCACAGAATATTTGCATTTTTTTGAACTGGTTTTTAATGATTTTAGTTTTAGTTACCAACAACACTGTTTTAAACCACAGACATGTGAAAATCATACACACATTTCTCTCTGGTAAATATTTAAAGAAATAGTGTGTCATCTTTTACTCATTCTCATGTCACCCATTTAACTCATGACAACATGAGGATGAGTAAATGACAGATTTTTTTAATTTTTGGGTGTATTATTCCCTTAATCTCTCCTGTAGAGTAAACACTATTCGGCATCAGAACAATTCAGCTATTTGCTTATGTGGTTCTGCATCTGTTTAGATCGGTGTGTGGAACTCAAACACCGGCCTTAACCTGACAGATAGCAACAAAGACAAAAACACCAACGTCACCGACTCCATGGCCAACCGCACTCTCATCGTCACCACAATTCTGGTAGGAATCAACCAATGCAGAGCATCAACAAGACCATCCACCTGTAACTAACAGTACTTTTGCCCCTGCAGGAAAACCCATATGTGATGTACAAGAAGTCAGATAAGCCTCTGTATGGGAACGATCGGTTTGAAGGCTACTGTTTGGATCTCCTGAAGGAGTTGTCCAACATCCTAGGCTTTTCCTATGAAGTCAAACTGGTGTCTGATGGGAAATACGGAGCTCAGAATGACAAAGGAGAGTGGAACGGCATGGTCCGAGAGCTGATCGATCATGTAAGTCTAATGATTAAGAGTTTTGTGGGTAATCTGTCAATCATTTCAAATGGTCTTAAAGAGTCAAGAGGATTCCCATTTATTAATTCTCACTGGCTTCATTACAGGTGGCAGATTTGGCCGTGGCGCCGCTCACCATCACTTACGTGCGAGAGAAAGTCATTGATTTTTCCAAGCCCTTCATGACTCTGGGAATCTCTATCCTCTACCACAAACCCAATGGCACCAATCCAGGCGTCTTCTCCTTCCTGAACCCGCTCTCTCCGGACATCTGGATGTATGTGCTGCTGGCCTGCCTCGGGGTCAGCTGTGTGCTGTTCGTCATTGCCAGGTAAAATCCATATCAACCCATTTTAACCTTTAGGTGGGATTAAATTCTTCAAATTGAACCGGTTTCATGCTTCTGTTATGTCTTGTTGGACTGTGGTTAATTAGCTCTTGTTTTACTGCCCAGCAGTAATAGCCCATAAAACAGTCTTGGCCAGCTCATTTTTAATACAAATGCAAATGTGTCTTCATTTTGCAAATTTATATATATATTTTTAACTCATACTTCTATTTGAACATTTGCAGTTAAAATATAATTTTTAGTGAAGTTATCCTTTTTGGCTTACACTCTAAAAACATGTTTTGGCTAAAAATAAATGTAAATAAATATAATAATAATAACAACAGTTTGCATGAATGTTTTTAACTTGAAATTAATAAATTACATTGAGTTAGTAGAGCTTAATTTGTAGCATGAACACAATTGATTACCATTCCAACTAATTTCAACATAAACATGTATTATAAATAGGCTAGCTATATAAATAGTTATTTCTACCTGATGTTTTTGCATAAATTTGTATGTTTAGGTTGATTCAGTGATGTTAAATAATTTAGATTTACTATTTTAGGTTACCATTCTTTCAGTATAACACCTAATTTCCACATCTATTCTCTTTATGCAGTCTTATGTAAAGCATGCTGAGAACTAGAAATCTAATGCCCAATTTTCAAGTTATTAAAAAAATTCAATGAATGCAGAAATGTTAGTTTAAATTACACACAATGCAAGTTGATGTAATGATCAACATTATTATGTCAGTTAGAACTCATCAAATAATATTGGCAACTTAAAAAAATCAATAAGGATTTTACAATTTTAAACTTATAATTTAGAATTTTCAGCTTGCAAGCATGTATTTATTTAGCTTGTTTTAACAGACGGACGCCCTGAATTTATTTTTAAAATGCATCAGCCACAGTGCTGATTTGTGTCCATTTACAGTGAAATGTTGGTGTGTTGGTGCTGTTCTGCAGGTTCACCCCGTATGAATGGTACAACCCTCATCCCTGCAACCCTGATTCAGATGTTGTTGAGAACAACTTCACCTTAATCAACAGCGTTTGGTTTGGTGTTGGAGCTCTTATGCAGCAAGGTATGAGATTTAACACGCACGGTTTCCTACTTTAGGGTGGCCAAATGTGTTGAAATCTACAAAAATTACTCAATTAAACTCTGAAAATAGTGTCAGTGTGTGCTTTCAATTTCATTATGTTCTCTTCATGCATTTTATTTTTTATTATATTAACCCTGATTCAGATGTTGTTGAGAACAACTTCACCTTAATCAACAGCGTTTGGTTTGGTGTTGGAGCTCTTATGCAGCAAGGTATGAGATTTAACATGCACGGTTTCCTACTTTAGGGTGGCCAAATGTGTTGAAATCTACAAAAATTACTCAATTAAACTCTGAAAATAGTGTCAGTGTGTGCTTTCAATTTCATTATGTTATCTTCATGCATTTTATTTTTTATTATATTATATTATATATTATAAAACAAATTTTTTTTTTTTTTTTTTACCATTTTTAACCATTCATCTGTTAACTGGTTGAACATTTGTCATGGTCAGGATCGGAGTTGATGCCCAAGGCTTTGTCCACCAGGATTGTTGGAGGTATCTGGTGGTTCTTCACCCTCATCATCATCTCGTCTTACACGGCTAACCTGGCCGCCTTCCTCACCGTGGAGCGAATGGATTCGCCCATAGACTCGGCCGATGATCTGGCCAAACAGACCAAGATTGAGTATGGTGCTGTGAGGGACGGGTCTACTATGACTTTCTTTAAGGTTAGGCAACTTGCTTTTGATATTGTATTTTTATTAGTCTATACAAGCAAAAAAAATCAGCCTGTTTAACATTTCATGCAATATGTGGGTGGTTTGTGGTACATTCATTTGGCACTGAATTAAGACAGGTGGTTTGAGGTTTGAAGGGCAAACAGCAGTTACACCTCAGACACAAAACCTGCGATTTTACACGCACAGATTGGCGGGACACGGACCTCAGCCAGCAGGAAATACATGTACAATGCGAATTAAAGCAGCTTATAGAGAAAGAGAGCGTTATGAGGACATCTGTCACAACACTAATCTAAACCAGCATAGCAAAGAAGGATTTTTCATGGCAGAAATAAAACATAAGCACAGGAAATCCAGTAGTTAGATCAGCTTACTGTAAATTTATTCACAGCTATAACATGAATTTTGGCAGAAGAAACACTGCTTATCCTCTAAAAACCCTTGAAATTTGCACTATGGCTGTAAATAATTTCATATGGTTTTTAGGAGTGGAGATTATGAATATTCTCTTACAGAAAACAATAGTTTTGGCTCTTAATTCTGATTATGAAATGATAGTTATGGTCCTGGATGCTGACTGGTGATCAATACATTGCTTTAATTGTGCTTAATGTGTATATCAACCATATTAGAAACAGTTTAGTTTACATGTCATCTATAAATCTGCTTATGAGACTTTATGAATTTGATTAATAAAATGACATTTTAAAAATACTTAAATATATAATACAGCCTTATTTTATTTCTTAATTAGATGATCAACATTCCAAACTGTAAAAAAAGATATACTCATAAAAGGTTAATGAACTAGACTAATTTGCAGATAAATATTAATATTTGATTAATGATTAATAATCATTGTCTTTTATCATATTAGTGTTACTGAAATTGTATAAAAACAATAAACCACTTAAGATTTTTTTTTAAACAGATGATCCTGATGGGCAGTGATATATTTTATTTTATATTTTATTATTGAATTTTATTTTATGTATTTATTTATTATTTTGTTCTGTTATTTTATATTATTTTAGTAATTTATTTTATTATTTATCTTGTTCCATTTTAATTTTATTTAATGTTATATTGTATTATTTTTAGTGCTGTCAAACAATTAATCGCATCGATAATAAATGTTTTTGTTTAAATAATATGTGTGTATACTGTGTATATTTATTATGTATATATAAATACAAACACATGCATGTATATATTTAATAAACATGTTATGTTTATACATTAAACATATTTATATATAATAAAACATAAGTATATAAATGTATATACATGTAAATATTTTCCAAAATATATACTGTATGTGTGTGCATTTATATATACATAATAAATATACACATTACACATACATATATTATGTAAACAAAAACTTTTATTTTGGATGCGATTAATCGTGATTAATCATTTGACAGCACTAATTATATTATTTTATTGCATGTTATTTTATTAATTAGTTTTATTATATATTTTTTAATTATATTTAATGTTGTGTTATATTATATTATATTGTATTATTTTATTGTATTGTATGTTATTTTATTATTTTATTTAACTTCAGTAAAGACTGTCACACACCTTTAAGTGGCTCCTTGCATTAATATAAACATTTTAATTTATTCATTTGATATATATGCTGCCAAAGCAACATTGCATTCAAGGTATATATATATGTATTCCTTGGAAATCGAACCCATGGGCTCTACTATAATACCATCATATATCTTTCACAGAAATCAAAGATCTCCACCTATGAGAAGATGTGGGCGTTCATGAGCAGCCGGAAGAACACAGCGCTGGTGAAGAATAACAGAGAGGGAATCCAGCGCGTTATGACCACAGATTACGCTCTTCTGATGGAGTCCACCAGCATCGAGTACATCAGCCAGAGAAACTGCAACCTCACGCAGATTGGAGGACTCATCGACTCAAAGGGCTACGGAGTCGGCACTCCTATTGGTACTCTCACATAAAACACTGTCAAGATTTGTCGAAAATTTTCAAGTACACTCTAAAAAATGCTGAGCCAAAACAACCCAATAGCTGGGTTTGTCCCTTTTTAACCCAACGCTGGGTTATATTTAACCCAGCATTTTTTAGAGTGTAATGGTAACAGATACAGCTTTTGTTTGTAAAACTATATATATATACAGTGGTGTGAAAAAGTGTTGGCCCCCTTCCTGATTTCGTCTCGACTCTGATCTGAGGACGGGGTTGTGCTGTCGTAGCCGGACGTGACCGAGGAGGCCGAGGTCGAGTCTGTCGAGTCAATCGAGAACGAAGACGTGACTTCAGTGTCCAGAGAGCCAGAGTCAGAGTCCTGGATGCTTTCTTTCGCATAAGACGTTATGGAGGACGAAATCTGTACATCCAGGTCTGCTAGCCACAGCTCTCGGTCCAATAAAATACTTTTTTGCTGACCAATGGAGCAAGGTGAATTGCTTAATGAGAAAACCTCATGTTCTGATTGGCTAATCGGAACAGTGCTGATCTCTGATTGGCTCAAGTGATTTACTACTAAAGCAGTGTGAGGTTCTAAAGCACCAGAGTGTGACGTTTCAGACTTCAGTCGGTCCCATTCAGATTGTATGCTCGCAGATGTGTTTGTGCTCGCATCTAATAGATCACTAGCTTCTAGCGACTGCTGAATGAAGCTGAAGCTGGAATTGAAAACGTTGCGCAACGGCATTGGGGAATTTTCCTTGGCGTCACGCAAACGGTGAGTTTCGAAAGAATCCTGGCCGTCGTCGCTCTTGAAAACCTCCTTAAGCCATCGCTCACTGGGGCTGCTGGGTAATTTCGAAGCGCTCTTTTGAGTGTTCTCATTAGTAGACGAGCCACATGGCTCTGAGCACATGTATCCCGGGCGTCTGAAGCTCTTCCCGCGATAGCTTCCCGCTGCCGCCGTCGGACTCACAGCACCTGTTGAGAACAGATTACCGATTAAATGTCTTAAGTCGTGAAGATAAACCATGAAATGTGCTTTATAACTGGACATCCAACATGTAAACTCTCACAATGGCATATCTGTAAACAAATAATGAGCCATGACAGCTGCCATCATGTGTTTCAGCTGTGAAATCTCCCTGTGATCAGTGTGTCAAATGCAATACAGCTGTTGAGAAATAAAAACTGATGGGCACTTTAGGAAATGCACAGTAAAAACAACTATAAGAGTTTAATAACAGTGTAAAGAAGATACAATTTAAATATGAGAAATTTTAATAACATGGTCATCATTACATTAGTACTTTTGTAAATTTTCTTTTACATTTAAAATTTTTCATTTTGTACATTTTGCACTTAAAACGATTTTTACATTTAAATATATATTTTTGTAAAAAATTTTAATGTTTTAAATGAATTTACTTCAATGCATTTTTTATGGGCTGACTGAAATTTGCAAATGATGCTCAGATTTGTTTTTACATATATATATTTTTTTTATATATTCCATTTTGGTGTTAACACTTTTTCACACCACTGTATATATATATATATATATATATATATATATTTCAGTTAATGTTTATTTTATTTTAAGCAAAATGTTTGTTTTTTTATAGCTTTAGTTAACAATAATAACTCTGGGTTTCTCTCAGGTTCCCCGTATCGTGACAAGGTGACCATCGCCATCCTGCAGTTACAGGAGGAGGGGAAACTGCACATGATGAAGGAGAAGTGGTGGCGAGGAAACGGCTGTCCCGAGGAGGACAGTAAAGAGGCCAGTGCTTTGGGAGTGGAGAACATCGGAGGAATCTTCATCGTGCTGGCGGCCGGACTCGTCCTGTCCGTGTTCGTGGCCATCGGCGAGTTTATCTATAAATCCAGGAGGAACCTGGACATCGAGGAGGTGAGCGTGGGACAGTGTGAATGGCACAATAAATACTGATGGACATCACAGGACTTCTGAGGACGTCACTGGGAGTTTTATAATGTACTTTTGCTCCTCGACCTTCTTAAAACCAGATATACTCTGATTAAACAACACTTAAATGATGTCAGCCGTGTGAGAATTGGTGGCGACGTTGGACGCTGAGCAACATTTTCAACATCAACTTTTTTTTTTTTTTACTTTTTTTTTTACATTTTTCAGATGGACAAACAATAAGATGAGAAGTATCTGTCAGTAAAATATGAATAAAGACAGGAGTGTAAGTTCGCAGTTCAACTATTACACCAGTTACTATATTGTAGAGTAGTTCACATCCATGTAGTGTGTATTTAGATTTAAAGACTGTCTTTACAGACATATTCCTCCTTAATTTATGACAAGACATGTCTGTGAGTTTTATTATAGGTGATGTGTGTAATCTTTCCATGTTAAAATTAGTCAGTTATACATCATTCATTCATAGGTTGATTTTCCCGAAGAGTGCAACCAACATTATTCTGTTTTATTTTGTTTTAAACATTTTAGTTTGAAATGAATTACAATTGCACATTACAATTTATTGCAATAATGGGGAAGTCAGTGTTGTTTTAAAAAAAAGGATACATTTATTTGGAAAAAGGGGTTAGTTTTACGTCTTTTTCAGTAAAAGCATTTTTACAGTAAATGTAAATACATGAATTTACGTTTACTTCTGGCTACTTTTATCAAGAGCATATTAACTGAGACAGATAATATTGCATTAAAATATTATCAGTTTCTCAAAATGGAGCTTAGAGCAGTTTCTCAATATTGCAAATATTGCAAAGTAATGATGATTAATTTGTTATTTTATGCAACGTTACTGTGTTTTAGCATGCATGAAATGTCAAATAGTATATGGGAAACCTGTTTGAAAACCATTTTTGCATTTCCATTTGATGATGTAGGAATTACAAACTTAACTTTCAAAGACTCATTCTGACTGTCATAGCCTTTGAAATGACTTATTTCATTCAATGACTGTGGGTAACATTTGTCTTAAAACTGTTATATGAACCCTTTTTTAATAGTAAGAATGAGCAAACATGTCTACAAAACAGATTTAACATGCAGAACAAGCATAGTTCTCAATGAAATTGAAAATGTTGAGCGAAGTGACAAAATCATAACCGAACAGAGCATATGTAATGTTTGAAATGCAGTGTGATGTAGATTTTGAATCTGCGCAACACAACTAAATGTTTGTCATGGCTCTTTTTGTGGTTGAAGCTGGTTAGGACAAAACCTCCGATTAACAGTCTGGTTACATTTTATTCAGTCTACAGGTGCAAGTTAATTTTTTCATCATTTCTGCTTTTGTATTGTTTGACACTTACGAAAATGCATATAAATATTTTATCACTTTTGAAATTATTTCTTCATGAGCACAATATATATTCCTTGGTTTCTTGATTATTTGCCTCTTGTAGTTTGATAAGTGCTTTAATGAGTTTTGGCACACAACGTTTCTTTCAGGAATGGACGTCCAGTCTTCAGCGTCTGAAAATATGTGAATTTAATTCAAGTATTTTATTATAGAACCTCTTTGGTGATGGGCTTCTGCTGAAACAGCATTGTGATTTCTTTTCCTTCTTTTATTAAAGTTGCAGTATGTAACTGTTTTGGTTAAAAATGAACAAACATCAGTTATTGAGCAAATCCTTATTTTACCTCGATTTGCAACGGTAGGCTTATTGATTGAGTTTATTTGTATAGCGCTTTTCACGATACAAATCGTTGCAAAGCAACTTTACAGCAAATTAAGTTTCTACAATATTTATCAGTGGTGACTGTCAGTTAATGTACATATGGCAGAAATGTACAGAAAAATCAATTAAAGACGTAATCAAACAGACGATGAACACTATTAACAGCAATTATTATATGATGCAATCAAACTTTAATCTAGATTTAAACAGAGCGAGAGTGTCTGAACGCCGAACGTTATCAGGAAGGCTATTCCAGAGTTTGGCAGCCAAATACGAAAAAGCTCTACCTCCTTTAGTGGACTTTGCTATCCTAGGTACTACCAAAAGTCCAGAGTTTTGCGACCTTAGGGAGCGTGATGGATTGTAGTGTGGTAGAAGAGTTAGGTATGCAGGAGCTAACCCATTAAGGGCATTATAGGCAAGTAATAATACTTTGTAACTGATACGGAACTTAACA